AAAAAAAAAAAAATACAGTTTGCCTAACACAAACCATACTACCCGCCCCTCCAGTTCGCATTTTTCAGCTTATCAGCTGTTTGTTTCTGAAAGAGAAACGTAAGGGAGGCAGCAAACGTTACCAAGTTTCAGCTGGATGTGCAAGTTCACTACTGTGACACAGAACTGAAAGCTAGTGGGGGCTCCCTTCAGAAAACCAACTCGCTAGGCTGGGAATGAGTGTAACTGAAGCAGGTACCTAAAGAGTGCCCCTTAAACTGAAACTATCCTGCTAGACTGTAACAGAAAGTGTTCGAGACCATTTTCTTAACCAGCTAGCTATCAGAACTGAGTTATTAGAGGAACAGTTCCCGTACACAGATTTCCTATCACAGTGTTCAGAATATATTTGATGAAAAACATAAGGAAGATTGTTGAATATCCTTAATGCAACAATATTAACTCCCAAGTACTGCCGCCTTATGAATCTGAAATTAAAAAGCAAAAAACTTAGTCCACTTTAAAATCAAGTGGGGGGGGATAAATCACTCAAAGCTGATAATTAGCAAGGAGATGCAAAATGGATTTGTATCTACCTCCCAAAACTTTATTTGGGCTTTTATAGTTTCCAGTAGGAAGCTGAAGCATCACGAACTAAAGTTTTCACACACATTTTCAAAGTTTGATTAGAATAAGTTAGGTAAATGATCCTTTTGCAGTATGGCCTTATTCAAGTTTATTTGGTCCCTTATGTGGTTGGGCATCAATTAAAAAAAGTTGTATTTGTAATCTAGAATGAAGATTAGTCCTCACTTCCCGTAACACCTCTGACTGGAAAATTAAGGAAGAACTTCAAATGAGTTAGCATTACAAATTGCCCTGCTGACTCCCTGCTCGAAGTATCTTCAACTAATGTGGAAGGATTAGAAATTTGAATCCAACAGAAGTACACTTAGAAGGCTAAGTGTAGACAATTTCAGTTGTTAGTTTGCGATGTGAGTACTAGCTGACAATAGAGCTATATCTGTTAGAGGACATTTATTTTGGGCCATTTTTTTGCACTGTTGTCCACTCTAAAGCTATCCCAGGTGCATGTATCTGTAGGTAGACATTTAGTATTAAAATTGTATTACACAGTGATATTTCAGATCTGAAAACATCCATTCACCATAATTGCATCTTTACCTTATTCTTTGCCCTAAATGCTCGGTGACTAATTTACTACTCGGAGAGCAGTTCAACATCCATGGTATAAGATTTTTTGTTTCAGATACAGAGACTTAAGCTTATTTTTTCTTAACACTGACAACAATTGTTACCATTTTAGTAACTTTTAGTCTTTTGGAATGTGCTGACCTAATAAGTCCTTTGACTCTCTTACTGGATTCACCAAGTGAAGATACAAAAATTTAAGAGCTCTGATTTAGAGAACTAAGAGTATCTTATAACACACAGTCAGTATCTTTAAACACTACTTCTAGTGTACATGAACAAAAGTTTCCTCATACTGGCTCTAACTGTATTTTTTTGATTCCACCTGTTAGCAAAATTAACTGAAGAAGTAGTATTGCCATCTAGATTAAAAAAAAAATTAAAAAAAAAAAATCAAACACCAAAAGAACCGTTAAGAATCCATCCAGTTTGTTTTGGCTTACTGCTTCAGGAAATGCTTGTTAAGTAGCAGGTAAAAGCATGGCCCTTGTTGGGAAACTGCTTACGATAAACTCAGGACAAAGCAACTGAGAAAAACTGCCCGCAACCCTAAGACAAATGAACTCTGCAATGAAACTGGCCTGTAATACACTTGAGTAAAAGCATGCATAATGCAATACTAGGTATTTTGGGTAAAGATGGCAATAAAGAGACTAGCAGTCTGCTATTCTAGTTCAGCTGCACGTAACAATAAAGGAAATTATTTTTAGTATGAAGAAGGAAAATAAACCACAAATTACCTCTGAAATTAGTATATGGCAGCATTACTTAGCAATATTCAAGGGTAATAGAATATTTGAATAAAACATCAGCGACCATTTGAGCGATTTTGCTAGACAGGCTTTCTTCCTTGAAGGTGCAAAGGAAGTGACCTCTGAGAGGTCACTTGCACCTAAGACGAAGAAGTTACTTCCAGGTGAAGGTGGTGTATGCTGTGTACAGTGACCATGGTTTTAAGGTCATATTTTATGCACCCATGTCAGTTCAAGTTGCTCTTTAAATTAGGCTAGCTTAGAATGCTTTACATGGTTAAGCTTGCATCACAAACTGGACTGAAAAAAATGTTTAATTACGGATGCTGATTATTTCCTAGAAGTAGCTAAACAATTGCATTTGGATTTTTTTTTAAACTTTTAAATACAGCAATTCAGTACATCTATCTAATTTCTCTTCTTTTTCTAGACAGAATGTCCACTGTGCAGAGAGAAGTTTCATCCTCAGAAACTGATCTACCTACGTCACTATCAACTGTAAAGGAAAAATCTCTTCTGTTTCACAACAAGGGCCTCAGCTCTCATACCCTTTATAAAGTTGTCATACAGCTTGAGTTAGTCCAAGAAAGACTTTATTATAAAACCGGTAACTGCCTGTGCAAAACACTTCATTCCTGTTTTACAGAACAAATCTATTTCTGCCTCTACCCTTCTGTTTCTTCTAACATGGTTCTTGACCATATTAAAAATATGTCTCTCTAAAAAGTGCTTAACACAAATGTAATAGTTTTCTTCATGTTGGGCAATGAAAAAGTTAAATCAGATTCTCATTCTCTAAATGTAAGTGTGGATAATGAGTCTTCCAACCTTTCATAGCATGCTTAAGGTATTAGTAAAATTCTACAATTTCTAAGACTCCCTTTCTCCTATAACATAATGAGTCCGTGCTGTAGACTTCAGGGGAAAAGGACAAAAGCTGTACACAAATCCTTACTTTAACTGCAGTTCAAGTTCTGATGATAAATGTATGTCATGTACCACTCCATTTTCATAACAAGGTTAGCAATAAAGCAGGTTTCCTTGATTTGGCAAACTGTGAATTTCCCTTAGGTCAACAGAAGCAACAAATGCGAACCCACAGTAATGCAGGCTACTCTGCACCCTGATCAATTAACATCCAGCTTCCAAACTCAAAGCTTTTCTATCACTATTAGATATCAAGACTTTTCATCAAGTATTCTAGACAGACTATAGTAATGTAACAAGTGTTGTTTCAAAAAAGCTCAGTACGTATACTAATAGAAACTAAGCTCAACTATAAAATGTTAGTTTTCTAACACAGCTAAAGTTTTGTCTGCGTGGTGTTTTCTACAGTCTAACACAGATAGCGAAGAAGCTGACTTCAGCCGCAAGACCCTCTCCCCTCTTTAGGGCAATTGGGGCTATTTCAGCTAAGCCAATATTTTAGAGTATAAAGGAGGAGGGATTCAGCAGCATCACCTCGTCAAGGTTTATTCCCTCAAGTTATTATTAGTTCCATTATACAAGTATTCGGAGCAGCAGGGAAAAAGATTGTTAGTTGTTAACAGATCTTGCCATTCTTGCATGATAGAAAATGTACAAGATGAATTTATTTGTATTCTTTAAATACAGATGGGGAAAAAAAGCCAGATGATCCACTCTGTGGATCATGAGTTACAGTTTCAATAAATCTTTCACAAATGGCACTGAATATGGACTTGGGATTGGCAGGGGGAGGCATGCTACAGTAAGAGCACTTCTTTTAAGATGGTTATTTGTACTGCGGAGATCCTGGTTAGCTAACTAACAATTAAATCTCCAAGTGTTATCATAAAAACTCCAATAAAATTAGTTTAACTTCTCATTATATCTATAAATGGAATTAAAAATAGTTGCTCTTAACTGCGAACACTTCATCAGTACTGTACAAAAGTGATTTCCAGAGCTGCAAAACCATCCCTTTCTTACACCAGAAAACTTTCAGGCATCCCTCACCTATTTAAAACTGTTAAGGCAACTGCGGAAGAAAGATGGTCCGTATCGTGAATCAAAACACGACTACCTAAGGAAATCACTGCTTGATCTCCTTATTAAGAAAATAGTAAGGAAAAACATGTAGTTGCACATAAAAACAAATAGGAAGCAATCAATGACTGGGAAGTACCTGTGAAGTTGTCAAGCCAAGTTTTTCATGCATTCTGGAAGGGTAATTTATTTTTAGCACTTGTAAGTGATAAAAATAGAGCAACGCTTAACAAAATGCCATCAAACTTGTCTGGCCGTTGCATGCTGAGTCAGCTAGGGAACTATACCGTTGCCCCAACATCATCTACAACCCATATTTGAAAACCGTTAATCGCACTGAATGCAGAACATCTATGCCTACCTAAGAATGAGAAGGCATTAATCTAAAGCTGCCACTAAAGTTTGAAATTAAGTGGAGGTAAAAATGGCTAATTTGCAATGGATGTCGTTAACACTCTGTTGTAGTAGGAGTCATCCCAGTTGCTAATTTTAACATTAATAAACATAATAAACATATTTTCCTCCCTGATTTCCCCATATTATTCAGAAACTCCAGCAAACCTGAAGACAGCTTCTTCAAGTCAGGGCTTTCAGACTTTTAGGCAACTAACTGCAAGCATCCATAACTGGTACTTTTATAAGGCCCTTTTTGGATACTGTTTCCATAATTTTAAATTTTGACATTACTAGTTTCCACGCTGCTAATAAAACAAACACACACAAACAAACAAAACACAACAGGTCAATGTGAACTAAAACTACCTGTCATTTTCCCAGGATTACTGAAGGCTGGATTCCAGAGCTCCATAATGACTTCATTTGACAAAATCAGATGAAATATATACATTTTCCAATTAGGTGTCTGTTGAAGTTGCCACTATTGTCCATTCAGAATCTTCAAAGAGCTAATCTTTTCCTACTTTCTGCAAGTGAATGCTCCCTGAAGAGTTGAAAAAGGCATTGCATGAAGATAAATTGAGGGTAACCACTATTGAAAAGGAGCCGTAAATACTATTAGATCAATATATGTATATAAAGATAGAGAACAAGTAAAGGGGGACACTGTCTTTTAATAAATTTTGGAATTAAAAAGTCACTTAATAAAACTGCAGTTGTATCACATGAAAAAGTTTACATGCAGGTCATTTATCTCCTTTTTTTTTCCCCATAGAAAATGAAAAGCTGTGTTAAAAGCCACACTATTTGTCTGCTTTGGCCAGTTTGGGTATATTCTGAAGGGGCTGCATGAAGTCCTCTTAAATTAATCAAAAAACCCTTAAGTATGCAAGAAACTCCAATTAATAACAATTAAAATATATATATTTATAATTCCAGGTCCTCAAAGGAAATTGTGATAGAGTTTGAACAAAGTTTTGAGTCATCATGAAAGAGCCCGATTTTAGCATCTGCTAGATGTAATGGTGAAACTGGCATTAAAACCCAACACAAATGAGTTACTTTAGAAGCTATATGAGTATTTTTTCCCTACTGTAAAACCCATAATTTAGTAGATTTCTTATTCCTATCTATATTTGTTTGGTTATAACTCAGTAATACCATGCATTTAGGAAACTGGCTTAAGTTCTGCATCTATTTAGGTCTACTGTGTTTTTCTATGAAAATAGCACACGGCCACGAGGCAGAAAACAGCATCATGTGTGCCATCTTACATTTTTCCTCCACATATGTGCACAGCACTTCAGGGTGATATAGAGCAGGAGAACTATGTAAAAATATCCAACTCTAAGCCATTAATCTCTCCAGTGCAGTGGACCTTGAAAGAAATACATTATCCCAAATCCATGGGATTATCCAAAGTTTCTCCAACTTCTTACAAAAGATAATAAACTCAATGCAATTTGGTTAGAATGCCAGTTCCTTCAAGAAACTGTATTTCAGATAAAAATAGCAAGATCCTCTTAAAATGAAAATTCAACTGCTTTGTCACCACTCTGTTAATCATTTTTTATGAAGAAAAAAGGCATTGTTACAATGGCTCAAAATCGTTCCTTTAGTTAGAAGTAGAATTGATCAACAGGTTGATTGCATCTTCTAGCTAGCAAAGGTCTTTCCCACATCTTCTTTCCCTTTGTATTTCCTCTTGCCATGTGTGAAGGGTATATATCTGTACTTTATCATGTGCTGTAAAGAGAAAAGATCAATTTTTGAGGCAAGAAACTTACCTAATATTTACAAAAATGTTTTATAATACACATTGTAAACGACAAAGTCCTCTAGGAAGACAGTTCTTCAGTATTGTAAAAGTAATGAAATAGCTAATCATACACCAGTTTACATCGAAATAGGGGTATGAGCCCAATCTTACACATCTCAAATTTGGGTATACCCAACAACTTATACAGCACAGTGAAGATTACCGATTGGGGGATCACAGGAAACTGGAGAGAGCATAGAAGTATTAATTCTTTACTACCCTTTAATCTTCCATTTACAACTTTGAATAACAGTACCTATCTAAAATCCTGCATGTCTGGGAAAAAAATTGGTTTTCCTTTTAAAATGCCAACAAACTAAAAGTAATTTGTTAAAAAATGGTCTGAATGACTTGCCTATGTTCTTATTCCCCTTCTCTCCATCTACTTTCTTGCATCAACTTGTCAGAACTTCCCTTTTCACCCATCAGAGATCCTACAAGACCTCTTCATTAAAAATAGCAATAGTTAACTGAAGAAAGGAAGTGGATAAGAAATTATAAGACTCATCCTGTATAAAAAACAGATATTGAATTCTAAGATCAAAGCCTTTTGAAAGCAAGCATAAAATTTTGTAATGTAGCATATGAAGACTTCTTTTACAAAGTATTTTTGTTTCACATTGTCAATATTTGCTCAAAGTTGCAACTACTGTTCAAATGTTAGTTGTTCAAGTTCCTCTAGTAAAGAAGTGTGTGCAATACATTTAATACCTCTGAAGTGCTCAACTGGATGGACAGTTTGGAACAATACTGTAAATTCTGACATCGCAAATGCTACTATCTATTCTTGGCAAGTTACCTTGATTTGCCTCTTCATAGTGATACAAAATAGCATAATGAAGTACATCACAAGGATTGGCCAAAAAACAGGAACGTTGAAAGCCTCGAAGAATGTACATGCCATAGCAACCAGGATTCCTTTAGTGGCAGAGTGCCTTAAAAATAATATTAACAATTAACCCTTCAACCCCAGCTACCACTAATTTGATGCAGATATTTATATTTTTCAAAAACAGAGCATGGCCAGATGGATCCACTCACCAGAATTTAAACTCTGGGAGCCTTCTAATGAAAGGCCGAAATTCTTCATTTTGCCTTGTAGGTAAGGAAGGACCATCATCTGAAAAAAACAGAAAAAAAACCAAAAAAAAAAAACCACAAACCCCCTCACACTAATTTTCCACACTATTCAGACTCCAGATTTTTAATTTTTATCTTTAAGAAAAATTTTCAGTTACACATAGATTCCAGTTACAGTGGCTGTTTTAATGTAACTTAACATCGATTTCCCAAAAGAAAATAGATAATAACTCAAGTGACCTGGCACTCATTTCTGTTATGGGGAGAACTTAAGTCACATAAAACTTCTTTCAAAACATAGAAAACTAAAACAATATGGAACATGTTCAAGTCTTGGGGGAAAAAAAAAAAATACAAATTTTATAGCAACTCCTGATGTTAAGTTGTATAGATTTTTTGCAAGTCTAAAAATACAATGTCATGCTAAAATTGCACATCTTTACACTATTGTATCAGACAAAAAGAGCTGGAAGTTTGACTAAGTTCAAAATTATCGCAAAATGAACTATTCATCATACCTGAATCTTCCATTAAAGAGGGGTCTACCTTTGGCGACAAGAAAGCTATGAAGAGATTTAGATGGTAGATTCCCAAGGCATATGTCACAATGTACCAACCCTGAAGCAGGGAGGAAAGAAGAGCTAAGATTAAAGTCTTCCTGAAAACCATTTTCAGATACTGATTCTTCAACAAGATTAAACAACCTGGTTTTTTGCTTCCTTGAGACGTGCTTTTCTACATCCTCACATTAACACGAAAAGTTTTCTGGACTTACTAAAAAAATATTTTAAAAAGTCTTACTGTATAAAATAAACATTCTGACTCTATGAAAAGATGAAATCACCTTTATGGATCTATTTCTTTTGTTTGTGTACTGACAGATAACATAGGTAACAGTTTTCATTTAAAGCTACCTAAACACTGACTAAACTTACTGCAATACAAATAAGCAAGGTAAAAAAAATAAAATCTATTAGCCTTTTTAAGCTACAAGTTTTCTAAGGTATACTACTGTAAACCTAATATATTAATCAAAACAAGCCTTAGAACATGAGAGTAGTGCAAATCCCTCAGGTATTGACGGATTTAATATGAAAGCTTTTCTCAGGCATCCGGTCTCTATGTTCAAGATGTAGACATCATAAAAAGCAGCATAAAAGAAGTAAACAGCATAAAACCATCACTTTTTTAATCATCTTTCCGGGCTTCAGTCTCTTAAATCTTCGTATTACTACCACCTGCACAGCTTTCACAGTCAATCTGTAATCTTCAGTTTTTGGGAATAACAATTATGAAGTTCTTAATTGAACTGCAGATTAGCATGAATTAGAGGCATCTGATTAGAGGAGAAATGGTCTGCCGCTGGCCTGCAGTGATAAAAATGCTGAAAGAGCACTTCTTTATGGTTTGCATGACAGAAGGTAACCACTGGCTCCTGAACATGCTTTTACACAGCTTAAATAAAAGTAAAAGCTTAATTGCAACAGAGTTTTCAGAGGCTTATTATGTAATTTCATCAGAACTAATGGAGTATTTGCACTTTCTGTTGCCATCAGATTAATATTCTCAAGCATTTGCACGTTCTCCGTTCTGAAGCAGTAAGTTTAACACCAACAAGATGTGTTCTTTCTTCAGACTAATTTACCTTCTACTGTGTGCTAAACGATACCATATGTAATTCCAAAGTAATACCATACTTCAAAAACTCTCTAAACACAAAAAATAGAACAGTAATGATATTTAAAACTACTTTAGCAGTAAACCCAGTTTTCTTACCTGCAGTAGATAAACTCTAATCATGTAGATAAAACTCAGACCCAAAGTTACAATCCATCGCACTGCAGTATAAGGAGTAGATTTGTCTAACCAGGATTGGTAGATCTAGGAAGAAATACAAAGTGTACATCTGTGAAATACATGATGCACAATGAATAATGTTTATTACAGGGTAGCATTAGAAATAGTAAGCATTTGTTAAGAGTATTTTGGGAAGGAGAGTAACACGAAACATTTGTATTCTTTATTACAAATAAACTTAATTAACCATAAACGAACTTACAAGCATTTGAAGAGTTCTGTATTTTTACAAAGGCAAAAAAAAAAATTTCCTAATGCTTGGGGCATCGTAAAGCAATTTAAATTTTCAATATTTTATGCAAGTTTACTTTCCTTAAGATGAATCTGACATGAAGTCTAAAGTCACTCCTCATTTTTGACATCATATATATTCACTGTGCAATGTCACATATACGTACATCAAATAGTCCACTAAGCTATGTGTTATAATATTTGTTATCTATTTTTAAAAGGCTTTGAAGGAAATCTTTTGTACAGACTTTAGTAGTTCAACAACCCATCCAAAAAGTAATGAGTTGAAGAAGCTGCACTGAGATCTGCTTCTAATGGAGCTGGAAAAACCCTACAGAAAACCAACCTGTCCAAGTCTTGAGAAAAATCTATAGACCACAGAAGGCTTTCCATGAACAGACTCACCAATACTGTCCCCTTCTGACATGGTTGCTGTGGAAACAAAACATGACACATAGGTAACATTTAAAACAAAAATCTAAGCTCAGTGAAGCTTTACATACATTATCTGATCCAGCATTTACATATGATACTCTTTTGGATTGCCCTGTTTGAAACAAATTACTTTTAATGACGTATTCTTAAAGAGAGGACATTTATTCCAAAAGAAATTAATTTTCACAAGAAATTGTCAAGAAAGCAAAGAACGGGGTATTTTACAAAGGCAAGACGGGATCCAAGCCATTTTAGGGAGCGAAAAAACAAGTCCATACAGAAATGCAGGAATGAGCCTTGTTAGACATCTTCACCTTGATAAGGCGGGAGCTGAGTTATAACATCTAAGCATTGAGATATGAACTGCAGCACCACCCTCCTGTCACCTCAGTTTCTAAAGGCAAAGAACAAAACCAAAATAAGTATTTTTTTTAAAAGCTGCTTAGGATTTTTAAATACTGAGTAACTAGAGAGCGAAGAAGTTTAAGTTCAGGACACCGTACACGAGTGGTTACAGACAAAAAAACCTCTACCGTAAGTACCTAAACCAAAACACTGCCCACTGCTGGAATTATTCAATGACTTTATCTGTCTCTTGAACAGGAAGAGCTTAGCAGTCACAGAAGAGTTTTATGCATGAACAAAATTGTATAGTAAATGGGCCAGGATTCTGAACTCAGGCAAAAAATTAACCAAGGGAATTATTTTTTAGCACATGCTTCTGCTACCAATTTAAGAACTTTACTTTTCTTTTCAGTTAAGCTCAACTGAGTTTTACAGTTCACTTCAAGATATAAAACAAACAAAATAAAATGGATTCTAAACAGAAACATTTTTGCCACATCACCAAAAGCAATCCCTGACATTACTTCCTGGAGCCCTCATTTGTGGGTGGGACTACATAACTCCGGGATAGCGGGAGTACTTTCAGCCCTATACTAATATCTCAAGAGCCTCAGATGATAATAAAGATACATGAAACATTACTGAATCAGAAAAAGTTAAATTATCTTAGATGCTGCAATACAGTGCTGCAAACAATAATTTGAGACCAAGGACAATCTGGGGAGGCACAGAACCTTAAAGTTGTATATTTTTTCTGTAAACATCTGAAAACTACATCCTATGGAATAATTAGTAAGTAGAAGAAAGTAGTCCTGTTGACAGTTTAAAAGATAAGGGGATTCATTATGAGGCTTCAGGAGCTGCAGCCCACTTTAATTCAAGCTATAGCTAAAAAGAAAAAAAATCAAACAGAAACTCATATACTATAGACTTTTTCATTACAGGCAAAAGGAGGTAATTATTATTCTCCCCATTCACTGCACTGCAGAAGAAAGAAGTTACTCAGCATTACTAGCTGAGCATAATTTTGTGCTTTATTTTGTTTTTTTTTTTTAACGTCCTGAAGTATGAAGCCATAACAAAAAGATATTCAATCTACTGATCAGATAGCAATTCTCCAAAGATCACGAATATAAAAACTCTCCTGTTCTCAAATTAATTTTACAGACACATCCGTCGCAAATATGGGCTATAAGTAGACCTAACATTACAATCTTGTATATGGTAACCTACGCAGATCAAGTGAAGAATCACATATGTAAGGCTACTGATGGCTTTACAATGGAGTAGGCATTTTGCTTGGTGTAAAAAATTACATTATATGTGATTATGTATGATTGTTTATCATACAGACAGTTCTATAGCAGACCAAGAAATACAACTAGCTAATACTGCCTGTTTTACTGAAAAGAAACCTCTCACTGGCTCAGTTTAAGTAGCATAGACTGAAGTCTATCACATGACGTAGTTTAGAATTTAAGTTAATGCTTCTTATCACATTAAAACTTTACTGAAAGAACATCTGCAATTAGACGATTATCAAGAAAAGTGATCTTTGGCATTGCTTTGAAGGCAGTTTACAGTTAAGAACACAAGCCAGATCTCACTGTTTTAAGGGAATAATTCAATCTAAACCGCAGGAATCTCCCTTTCATAATGTAACATAAGACTTTACCATTCAGCATAATGAGTTACGATAACCTTTCAGCCATTTCAGTAAAGCCAATAATCAGAAAGATATGCAAAGATTAATATAACAAACAATTAAATAGTTTGTTGCTAGCAGAATACAGACTGCTACTAAAACTAAACCATACTAAAAGGTTTTTCTCTGCTGAAAAATACCCAGCAGGCGAATGCATGACCTTCAACAACTATGCTTTTTACCACAATTGTTATGGTAATATCATTACAAGTACCACTGCATCGCTGAGTTCTTAAAAATGACAGGACCTGGGGCAGTAAAGACATTTAACTTACACCTCACGTTGTCACACACAGAGAGCTACAGAATTTTCAGACAACTCTCTGATCATAACGTAGATTTTTCTTAAATTTAAAATACAAATGAAGAATGTAACCAGCAAAAACACATTCCTGCTCATGCAAGTTTCCTTATCTCATAGAGAAAACATCTTTGAGGAGCAACGCACTAAAGTGATTTACTAATAACAGGGTGAATGGAGAATCACAGGAAAATAACCCATTGCTTGTGCAAACTGGTTTTTTATCCTAAAACCGACATCGTTTAATTTCGTCCATTACAACGGCAGGCCGGTCCGCCAGCAGCTCGCTACCGTCTCGACGGCAGGAGCTGCACGGCACCCGCGCTCCTTGCCCCTACCCGGAACCGTGGACTTCACGTACCCCGCGCCCGATTTCAGACCAAACGCTGCGGGACAAATGCAATACAAGGCACTTTGGAAAAAGGCAAAGCGCACGAAGGTTGGCACTGCTTTGGCACAGATGCCAGAAGGAGAGGCCCTCGAGGCAGGAGCAGGGCCCGCTGAGGCGCGGAGGGCCCGGGAACAGCACTAGGACAGACAGCGGCTTGGCGAGAGGGAAAACGAGCCCTCCGGCAGGCCCCGGGAAGCCGGCCCAGC